ATAAAACTTTATTAATTTGGAAAATATCTAAAATCATAGTATAATACAAAAACATAAAATATAAAATTCATAATCGATTAACTCCTACTAAACCAAAGACTCATAAAAAGTATAACACTCATGGAAGCAGTGTGCTCATGAAAGACCTTGGGTGGAAGACCTTTTGTAAGAGGGTCTGCTATCATGGTGTTTGTCCCCAAGTGTTTTATAGAATATATACACTTTGTACCCTTTTATTTAACAACTAGGAACTTGATGTCAATATGTTTTGACTTGGCCAAGCTCTTATCATTGTTACAGGAAGGCTAATTTATTGTCATAATATAACTTAAGTGGTCTTTCAATTATTTCTATAATTCATAGCCCTGTGGCAATATTCCTCAGCCAAATTCCATGGTTGGATGTCTCATAATATGCTATAAGCTATGCTGCCATGGTGGATGAAATTGTAAGTTTTCTTGGCACTGCACCGAGAAACTGCACCACCAGCCAACATGTATATTTAGTCTGAAGTTGATCTTTTGTTATCTTGGCATCCAACAAAGTTTGAGTCAGAGTATCCAGCAATCTCTAACTGGTCTGACCTTCTATATGTGAGATATAGTCTTTTGTTCTCTTTAAATATCTTATAACTTTTTGGCTGCTTTCCAATGATCCATTCCTGTATTGCTCAAATATCTGCCTAACATCCATTGAGGAATGTCGTATTGACATCCATTTGATGGATTTCCATATCATAATGTGCAACAAGAGTCATGGTTGTCTTACAAGATTCTTTCAATAAAACTGGAGAGAAAGTCTCTTTAAAGTCAATCTCTTTCTTTTGAGTATATCCCTTAATTATAAGGCAAGTTTTATACCTTTCCACATTACAGTTAGAATCCTGTTTGGTCTTAAAATTTTATTTGAAACCAATGGGTTTCACACCTTTTGATAATGGGACAAGTTCCCAAACTTCATTGTCTTACATGGACTTATACTCCTACTTCATTGCTTCAATCCACTTACCATTATTTTCCTCATGTTCTTGAATAAATATCATGTAATCATTCAGAATAGCATTTCTCCTTTCTCTAATGGATCTCTGCAGAGGTATTGGTTCTTGTAACACTTGTTCTTGAGGATTTTGAGTTTGTTCTTCATGAATTACCAAATCATCTCGAGTAAGAGGAAAATCAATAATGTCTTGTGGATGTTCCATACTTACTTGATCAAAAGCAACTGTACAAACCAACTTTGGATTTGTTACCGATTCTTCCTCTAAAATAAAGTCTCTAACCTTATTCTTCCTCCAAACTCAATATCCTCAAAGAATGTGTTTATTTCCGTCTCAAAAATTAAATTGAATTTTGGATCATAAAATTTGTAGCCTCTAGATCTTTCAGAATAACCAATAAAGTAACTGCTCACTGTTTAGGAGTCCAACTTATTTTTATTTGACCTATAAGGCCTAGTCTCAACTGTACATCGCTACACACGAAAATGTTTTAAACTAGGCTTTTGCCCAGTCCAAAGTTCGTAAGGTGTTTTAGCAGTTGCTTTTGTTGGTACTCTATTTAGAATGTAAGCTGGAGTCTTTAGTGTCTCTCCCCAGAGTGACTATGGCAAGGTAGAATGACAAATCATACTCCTTACCATATCCTTAAGAGTCCGGTTTCGTCTTTCAGCAATATCGTTCATGCTAGGTGATCCCGACATGTTGTACTGTAGGACGATTTCATATTTAAGAATTTGCCATATGAAGCTATTGTGTCAAACAAATATAGATCATCATGACTCATAAGTGAACTAGTTCCAACAATATTTCAATTAAAAGACAACTTAAACATATTATTCTCAAATGAACACAAATAACCTGATTTGTCCAAATAAGAAACTGAAATTAAATTTTGTTTAAATGATGAAACCACAAAAGTTCCTTTCAAGTCCAAATAAAATATGGTACACAATAACAATCTAAAATGCCTTATAGCTTTCACCTCCACCGACTTGCCATCTCTCACATATATGTATCTTTCAACATCATTTGACTTTTGGTAGTTTAGAAAATTCTTTATTGAAACACGGATGTTAGTAGTTGTACCACAATCTAACCACCAAGTGTTTCTAGGTGCTGAATCTAAATTGACCTTGGAACAAACCAAAACATGACTCATGCAATTGGAGCGATCCCACTTCTCATAATATTTCCTCTATTCAGAGGAACCAAATTTCAAAGTATAAGATGATGCTTCATCCTTAATACAAGATCAAAATCCATGCAGCCAAGAATAATTTCCATGTTCTCATTCCATTCCTTAAAATTTATCTCATTAAGGACTCGTTCCTTATTCTTAAAATTTACAGATATTGAAGCATTTGTAGCTGAAAAACGAGAACAAAATTAAACATTTTAAATACACTCACATAAAAGAAAACTGATTATCAACTTGTTCAAATAAAGACATAATTAATCTCAAGATACCTAGTGCACCATCAATATTGAGTCTTTGGACACTAATACTAACTGTTAGTGGTACTCTTGTTGTAACAATCAAATATTGATAGTAAAAACATGTTGAATAATAAACTCATCTTTGGATTGATTATTATTCACATGTAAGACCTTATAATTATCACATGTTTACCATCACATGTGTGTATAAAAACCAACCAACCACCAACCATTCTTTGGATCAATTGATACTCGCATGGACAAACGTACACACAACTAAAAAATTATTTAACATTTTTCAGAAGCAATTTCCATAAAAGAAGTCACTTTGACGAATCTTTCATTTCAATTTCTCACTTAAAAAAAAGTTAAATTGTTTTATAAAAATACAATCCATAGCCAAATTCAAACAAAGTTATATATATATATATATATATATATATATATATATATATATATATATATATATATATATATATATATATATATATATATATATATATATATATATATATATATATATATATATATATATATATATATATATATATATATATATATATATATATATATATATATATATATATATATATATATATATAATCATGGTACTGTTAAAGCATTATTGTTAAATAATTATAGATACAAAAATATAAACCATAGTCAAAATTTGAATAAAATTATACTAAAATTGCTAAATTTAGCTTGCTTGCAGTTGAAGTCCAATAAAAAAAAATCACTCCTCTTTAATGGAGAAACTTAGATTTACAGTCTAAATTGCATGGATCTCATAATAGCATGATAGTGTATATTACAGTTCACTCGCCACTTATATACTTTTAAAATTTAACAAAAGATTTCAACTTAGTTTACCAATGAAGCCCATATGTATACTTTCTACTGATGTTCATATCTATTTGACTTTGAAATACACAAATGCAAGGTGAAGATCTTAACTCATTCTCTCTGGTTTTAGTGTATTTGTGCAGCAAATAAGGGTTGAGACACACCATATTTATATAAGTACTGTGTCACTTTAGACCTCAAAATTCTTTTCATATATCATATAAAATTTCGGAAAGACATATCCGAATAAACCACATATTTTATTACAAAAAAGGTGACTTCGAAGTTACATATTGAATAAACCACACCTTTTATTACAAAAAGGGTGACTTCGGACTTGCATGTTCGAATAAACCACACATTTTATTACAAAAGAGTGACTTTGGACTTGCATATCTGAAAACTTACCTGAATCAGAAAAAAATAAGAAATTTTATAAAGCACATGCAATGTAAATCAAAAGCAAATCGCAGAGTTGTCAAACTTGAGTATCAGCCACCCTCATTTGACAGCGAATGAAAAATCCATTTCATCAACCGTGAGCTGAAGACGAATGGAGATCTAAAGGTTATGTGAAATATTTTTCTCCATTATGAATCAAAAGACCCGATTGAAGTAGATGATATTCAAAAATCCGTCGAGGATATAATCATTATGTTGCAACGTCCCGATAAAATGATTATATAAAGTTGAATTTATTTTCGTGACTATCTATGTAATAAATGCTTTTATTTAATAAAATGTTGATGTTGGTGTTGGTATGCTTTTGATTATGCCGTGATGTTTTCATTCACGCTGTCTCATTTATGGAATCAAGTCTTGTTCGAAGACACATCTCCAAACACACCATTTAAAAACTTTAGAGATGTATCTCCGATTTTTATTATTAAAAAAATAATATTTAATTGATATGAGAAATACATCTCTGAAAATATAAGACATTTAAATTTTTTTACACAAAATCTAAGAAAATATATAAAAGTGCAATGAAAAATTGTATAAAAATAAATGTGAAGTGAATAACAAAATTTTTGAACCGATTAAAATAACCGAACTAATAAATTTAGTTTAAAAATACAGATATTAAAACTTAAAAAAATAAAAAATAATAAGAACACAATTGTAATTAAGTAATTTTGTTAATACACATATTTTTTTAAATCATTTTTAATTGTAAATTTTAGATATAAATTTATGTCACAATTTTCTAAAACTCAAACCGTCATACGCTTAGACTACTAATCCCATACCTTAATCAGATTTATGATCAGGATTTTAGTATAAAGCAATCATTCTCCCTAATTTCCGTGATTATGTTCCCATAAAAGCGATTTTCCACTGCGCCGATTATTTACGACTAGCGAGCACTACTATTACACAACAAACAAACACCGAATAAGAGCGTTATAGCACATCACGTTTCCCAAAGCCAAAGCTGTACCCGCGTGGCAGGTGATCGTGCTAGCAACTCTGCTTTGGATCACCGAGCATCTCACGGATCGGATCTGATCTCTGAAAATCAAAATCGTACTCTTCCGATCACGACGCTCTCACTCGCTAGGGTTATTCTTTTTCCTCTCTTCTTCTCCCTGATTTCCCGCTACTTTACATGGAGTTACGCGGCAGAATCGTCTTCGTCGAGAGTACGATTGAATTTCAACTGTTCTCCGCTTGGAAGTGATAACTGCTTTTTTTTCTTTTTCTTTTCCCTTTGTGAGGAATGGCAGCTTCTCCGGTTAATTTCCTCTTTGGATTTTTGTTACTTTCCATTACGTTATGGCTGCTTTTCATGTAAGTCCTCGATCAACTATTATTATTATTATTTATTTTATTTTTGCAAAGTGTTTTTGTTACTGAATTTTTGCATATTAGTATTAGTTTTTGTGAAATTAAACTTCAAATGCTTGTAGTATAGGTTTAGGTTGAAGTCAATTGGAATAGATGACTAGCTTGTGTGACAGTTTAGAAATGGTCACTGATGTCCGTGGAAACGTTTTGCATGTTTAGTTTGAAATGTATACTGATTAAAGTTTGTTGAGTAAGTTACATAATCAGGGGGCGTAGAGGACATTGAGTTTCATTAAGAAAAATGAGTTATTGATTGAATATTGTACCCTCCCTCCAATCACAACATGGGGAACAGTATTAAATTAGACCAAATCCTGCTCATTGAACTGCCTCAGAAATTGAGACTAGACTAGATAGATGCATCTTTATTGGTACATGTAACAGACAAGTAGCCTCCCCCTGGATAAATTATCACTTTTTTTTCTCAATCAAAGCTTTCAACTATGAGTGTGTCAAGCTTAATCACTCTATTCCTTTCACCAACTAGCCCGGGTTTAGGACTCATTTGATCTAGTGCAGTTTCTTGTAGTTTGGTGTGGATAAATAAATAGTGAGATGGGCGTCAAAGGACACCTTATAAATTATAATGGAATATGATCTTGCATTTTGTTATCTATATCTAATATTCAAAGTTCTCTTTGGCTCTATGAGTGGATTTATTTTATTAGTAAATTTTTTTTTGAAATTTAGGATGTTTGGGGAAGTAATGCAAATTCTGTTTCATAATAAGTTTATTGTAGGAGTGTCTCTTAGATTTTAGGCCTAACTCAACCCCATAAAACTCATTTATGAGGTGAAGATTCTCTAGGCAAAGTGAAGCTTTCTTAACACACCTCTCACATCTAGGGCTATTAGGCCTGATGTGTGGATAATACGAGGGCCCCATAAATGGATGTGGATATGCTCTAATATCATCTTAGTTTTTGGGTCTAACCTTTTTTTTTCCTGACGATCAAAGTCCTTTCCAAGATCAAAGTCGTGTTTAGATTATAGCTTTGAAGAGAATTAGTACAAATTACTTAGATTAAACTTCTCTAGATTTACTAGACATATTATACATCCACCATGAGTGCTCAACACATCAAATAGAAAGCAACTAGCAAGTAAAAAGCAAAAACACATAACAAAAATTTTAGATAAACAACAAAACTCACCGTCTTTTAGAAAAACGCATAACAAAAACACTGAGAGAAAGTGTTTGTGATCTTTTTATGAAACACTATTTTCAATCTTATAATAATATTTAGCATGTTTGGAGAACTTGATTAAAAAAGGGAAACTCGCTGCAGTGGGCTTCCACCATTGTAGGGTTTGAAGAGACCTATACGTGACATCTAGGGCTCACGAGAACATTGATAAACACTAGTGCATCTACATGAGATACAATCAAACAGAGACTCTTTGAAGACTTCTATCAAAGGGGCAAACATTGTTGCAGATGACTTAAAGGAATTGATTAGCACTATCACCGCTCATATCAATCCGATGCATATTCTTTTTGGGAGTCAAGAATACAAGAACTTCTCAGTTAAGCGTGCTTGTCTTGAAAAACTTGTGAGACATGCGGCCTTCATAAATGTTTTCTAGGATGCATGCGAGTGATGGAAAAGCGCATTAAAAATACATGTCTTGGTTTTTGAGCGCTAATCATTCTGCTAGGAATTATGAGCAACGTTATCAAATTCGAGAGTCTAGGTAAACTCGTGTTCTCTATATATACCAAACTTGTAGATTCAACTTGAAAATTCGTTAGAGTTTACTCAATATTTTGGGCCCCACCCCATTTTGGGGCCAATTTTACTGACGTAACAATGTTTAGGTGGACAAATTTATTATTAAATGTCAACAAAATTGTTTCCAAAACATGACAACATGACATAAATATTGAATTTTTCCATCTGAACACTGCCACATTAGTAAAATCTACCCTAAAATGGGGCGGGGGACCAAAAAACAAGGTGGACTAATTTATTATGAAATGTCAACAAAGCTGTCTCCAAAATATGACAGATATTAAATTTGTTTATCTAAACACTCACATTAGTAAAATCATCCCAGAAATGGGGCGGAGGATAAAAAAACAAAAATAAAAACCAGAAGATAAAAAATATGATTTTTAAAATGGAGGGATCGAAATTTAATTTAAAACTTAGAGGACAACAACAACTAAGCCTTATTCTATTAGGTGGAGTCGGCTACATGAATCAACTTTCGCCGTAATGTTGTATTAAGGACTATTAGATGTATATCTAGCGAGTGAGTTAGTAGTAAGCTAGCCTTGTGTAGCTGTCATAACTGAATCTGTCAGTTGCTGTGTTGCTATCATCTGCTACAGCAGGTAATTGGTTGCAACTATAAATGCAACCATTTCTCTCTTTCTGTAACTAACTTTTCTGAAATGAAAAACTGTTAGATCAAAATGAAAATAGCTCTCTATGTTTTCTATCAAGGACCATGCTTCTGTCCAAATCATTATTCTCGAGATCTTTTTTAATAACTTCTCTTATAGTCTTTCTAGGTCTTCCTCTTCTTCAAATTGTTTGTCTTCTCCCCATCTGGTCTATTCACCTTACTATCGAATCTATAGGTCTTTTCTCTACATGCCCAAACCACCTATGTCTATTTTCCACCATCTTTACTACAGGTGCTATCTCGACACTCTCTCTAATATTTTCATTTCTAATTTTATCCTATCTAGTCTTACCACACATCCACCACAACATCCTTATCTCTGCCACACTTACTTTATTCTCGTGTTGATTCTTAATTTGTCTAACATTCTGTCCCGTACAAAATCGCAGGTCTTACTGTAGTCCGATGGAACTTTTCCTTCAACTTGAGCGGTACCTTTGCATCACATAAGAGTCCTGACGCCTTTCTCCATTTCAACCACCCCGCTTGAATTCGATGGTTTGCATCCCCTTCTATTTTTCCATCATTTTGTATTACGGATCAAAATATTTAAACCGTGTAACTTGAGCGATAATATGGTCTCCAACTTTCACCTCTAAGTTATAAACACTTCTTCTTTCGTTGAACTTACATTCCATATACTCCGTCTTACTTCTACTTAGGCGAAAATCATGTCTTCCTTCCTAAAGCTCGTCTCTAGGTTTTCAACTTCTCATTTAAATCCTCCTTCGACTATCCAAAAAAGACTATATCATCTGCAAAAAAATGCATCTCGGTGCTAGGTCTTGGATGTGTTCCGTGAGTACATCTAAAATTAAGGTAAAAATGTTAGAACTTAGGGTTGAACCTTGATGCAAACCAATTGTAATGGAAAAATCGTCTGTCTCTCCACGTGTCCCAACACTAGTCGATACCTCTTCATACAATATTGGATAACTCATATGCAATTCTAATCCCTTCCTTCTCCAAGTCAATAAAAATTAAGTGCAGGTCTTGTTGGTCCATCCGATACTGCTCAATCACACGCCGTAATAGATAAATCGCTTCCATCGTCGATCTTTCCCGCATAATACCAAATTGATTCTCTGTGACTTGAGTCTCTTTTCTTAATCTCCGTTCAATCACTCTTTGCCATAACTTCATGGTATGACTCATAAGCTTAATCCCCCTATAATTTCCACAATTTTGTATACCCCTTGTTCTTATAGATTGGAACTAAAGTGCTTCTTCTCCATTCATCCGACATGCGTTTTGACCTTAACATTTTTTTAAGAGTTTGGTGAGCCAATCAATATCTCTATCTCCAAGAATTTTCCACACTTCAATAGGTATGTTGTCTGGCCCAACCCCCTTACTGTTACTCATTCTTTTTAACACTTCCTTTACCTCTTGTTTCTAAATTTGACAATAATAATTATAGTTCCGATCCTCTTCTCAGGTTAGAGTCGGATGAAATATCATGTCCTTCATTAGAGGACCAAAAATATATATATGCCAAATGTAAATATATATTTTAAGACAATAGATACTGCCACACGTAAATAATTAAATCAAATAGTGGCAAATATTACTTAAATTTTATAATTATAAGCCTGTAGAATCGCAAATTCATAAACCTACAGAAAATCAAGAGTTTTCCAATTTTATTAGTTTTTATGAACTTGTAAGAGCTTATTGAAAATAGAGTTCACGAGCGAGTTAACTCGTTTTGATGACCTAAAATCTTAAACTCGTGAGATTTAAGAGTTAATTTGTCAGTATAATATGCACATAGCTTACCCCTGCAAATAGAGATGTTGTTTGTGCAACTAGTAGGTACCTACTACTAGACTTCTAGGAAACACCCCTAACATTACATCATGGCAAAGCTCATTCTCTTTGAAGAGCCTTATGTGTTAAACACAACTATTTTTGTGTAGCAAAGTGCTCAGAATTACAATAGTTGTTCTCAGTGTTTATAATTGATTGTTTTTGTTTCCACTTTATAGTGCTTAGTCCATGATTACTTTAATGGTGTGTCCCTGACAGCTATGCAAACAGATTTGGTTTATCTTTTTTATGACAAATATGCATTTACTTTTTGATTTGCTTGTCATGCAGATTTTTCCTGTTTATCTTTCCTCTTTTCATTTATGTATTCACTTCTTCCTATTTTTTAATAAATCATCTTGGTATGCATAAAATTAAAACGAAGAAAAAAGTGCTAATGCCTATTTTTTATTACAGCCCCATTTCACCTTAACAGTTTATTTTAAAACTCATCTCATTCCTTTTAGAGGATAAAATTGTGCATTATTCTTATTCTTACAGGGAGTATCTTGCTATTCCTGTTCAATTAGTTTTTATTTAAAGTATCATTCGATGTTAATTTTCCTAATAGTTTAAAGGAATTGTTTAAAAGTTAATCGAATAGAAGTGTCAAGCGGTAAAAGAAACTCCTTTTTCTATACGACGATCTAAGAAATCAAAATTGACAAAATGATGAAGAGTATAAAACTCAATGTAGGTGAGGTCTCTCTAGGATGTTTGGGATGAAAACCCCCCAAAGTTTTATTCACAAGCTATATCACATTGATAATATTCTATGGAGTTCCCGTTATTTTCTCTTTTTTCCTAGGTGCAACTGATAATAACATCCAATGCTTTATGATTTAAATTTACGGTATTATGTCACCATTTCTTTGTTTTTTCCCGTATAAACAACTTGCTTACAGGCTTTGGACCATCCTGTTTCTTAATTTTGATTATGCTTCTTTTTTACAGATCTACTTCCAGATTATTGGCTTGGATTTTAAGTTGGAGTTTGGGAGCGTCTGTTAAATTTCGTTTTGGTGGGTGGAAATGCTTAAGGGATGTGGTAGTGAAGTTTAAAAAGGTTTTTCTCTGCATTCAATCACTAAACTTATTTCATTGTTGGAGTTTTGAGGGCTTTGGAGAGTTTTACAGTATTCATTTTATCAGGCCATAGTTTGAGAGTCTAAATGCACTGAATGTGTGGGTTTTCTTGTGACAAATGCTTAAAAATTGAATGAAGAACTGCTTTATCTCCCTCACTTTGTGCTAGTTTCCCCTTTAAATAATATTTTTATATCAAGTTTTCTCCCAGCCTCTGAAATATGTAGACAGCTTGTTGCCGCTGATTGTTGTTTCCTTTATACATCTGCACTCTTTATCCTTGTTAAATTCCTTTAGTTTTATTCTACTGAAGTGTCATGTTTATCTCTGTTATCAGATTTCAGACTAGTTTCTTTAGGGGCTCTGGCTCATTACAGTATCTTTATTGATTCATAACTTTTACAGGGTGCTGTTGAATCTGTATCTGTTGGTGAAATTAAGCTCAGCTTACGCCAGTCCCTGGTCAAACTTGGCGTGGGTTTTATATCTCGGGATCCAAAGCTGCAAGTGTTAATATGTGACTTAGAAGTTGTGATGAGGCCTTCAAATAAAAGCCCAAGGAAGAAGAAAAATCGGAAATCCCGTGCTTCAGGAAGAGGGAAGTGGATGATTGTAGGCAATATTGCAAGATATCTGTCAGTTTGTGTGACTGATCTGGTTCTGAAGGTGCACATCTCCATAAAATTGCGTTGTTCTGCTTGTATGATCAAATACAGGCTGACTTTAATTTCTAAAAACTGTGGTGTATCGACAGAATTTGTTGAAAAACTATTTTAGATCATCAAATTTAATGATTATTATTGACTAAATAAAGTTTAAGGCAATTTCTACTTTTAGGTTTAAGCTAAATTGTATTATACTATTTTCTTTTGTTGTTTCTGTTTGGATCTTATCATAATATTTCTGCTCATTGATAATTTCTCCCGAACGTTGCAGACACCAAAATTTACTGTTGAAATCAAAGAATTGAATGTGGATATATCTAAAGATGGTGGATCTAAGTCAAGTTTATTAGTTAGACTACAAATATTACCTATTCTTGTTTATATTGGTGAGCCGCGGGTTAGTTGTGACCAGTTATCTAATTTAAATGGCGGAGGATGCAGTTCTTCGTGCCAGGCATCCTTTGCTGCTGTAGAAAGGTCTCCTGCCCCTTTTATCTGTGAAAAGTTTTCAGTCTCTTGTGAATTTGGCCATGATAGGTATGTTTCTTTCCATTTATTATTTTAATATTAACATGCACTTGTTAGAATGCTGGTTGGAGTAGATAAAGAGATTGTCTATAGGATGATCCAGAGTATGTTTGGATTTCAGTTTGGGAGGGTTCAAAGATACATTTAGTAAATTCAAAATGACCTCTAAACACACTAGGCTATTTGGTGTTTGACTATTATAGTTGGGAAACCCGTTTTTTTCAAGGAGAAACTAAAACCATAAATGAGATTTTAAATAGGTATATTTCTTCTTTCCATTTATAATTTTAATATTAACATGCACTTGTCAGAATGCTTGTTGGAGGAGTAGATAAAAAGATTGTCTGTCAGATGATCCAGAGTATGTTTGGATTTCAGTTTGGAAGGGTTCATACGTTTTATTAAATTCAAAATGACATCCAAACACACTTGGCTATTTGGTGTTTAGATATTATAGTTGGAAAAATCCGGTATTTTCAGAGAAACTAAAACCATAAATGAGATTTTACATATTTTAATTCTTAACATGGCAATCACTGCTGCATGACCAATGTTTGTGCACGGGACATTACTAGTTTACTATGAGCATATAATGCAACATTTGTTTATGCACCAAATAATTAGGCACGGGCATTTAGTTCGACAAATATTGCACGATGAGATGAAGAATTCAAAATGCCTAACCAGCTAGCAGTTTCTATTTGTTTGGTTCATAATTCTGGCGGTGTACCATATGTACTGAATAACGTTCAACTATGTAGTCTGTCTAATTGAATTTCCTTTTTCATCTACATTATTGGTCATGTATTGGTTTGCTGTTTTTGTATTTTGTACTGTTGCTTTTGGCTTGATTGCCTGACTTCTGTTTGGATAGTCTCAGTCTCACTATTTTGTATTGCTGCTAAGTTTATTCTTTCTTTCTTCTTTTTGGACACAGGGAAGCTGGTATAGTTATCAAGAATGTGGACATTTCCAGTGGAGAGGTAACATTGAATTTGGACGAGGAATTGCTTTTGAAAAGCAAGAGTTCATCAAGGTCTTCTTCTAACTCGGACAGTATTATAGGGTCACAAGCTGATTCTGTAAGCAATAAAAAGCCATCAAAGAAGCAGCAAAAACTTGCAGCCTTCTCCAAGTACAGTTCTATGTTTCCGGAAAAGGTTGTAAATTAACACATATGTCCTATTCTTAATCATCACACACGCGCGCGCGCGCCCCCCCACACACACACACATTTAACTATTAAGAGAGAAAAAGAAAACAAGGGGGAAATGAAAGGAAATTTTCTCAAACAATAAAAACTGTTAAATACACACGAAGAATAGCAAGTACATCAACACAATAATTGAAGTTTATTTTACTTCAATAATGTCATCTATTGAATTTGAAACTAGCTGAAACTATTTTATTCCGTTACAATTTGTTTTTTATTTTGAATTGATAATTCATTTGGACCGTATCGAAAAGATCAGTGCTATCATATATATTATCATCGCCACCACAAGCATTACTTATACTCCATCCGTCCCAAATTATAATAAAAAAGAAATCAATACTCACTTACTAAGAAAACTAAATAATTAGGAGTATGACTTTTTGAATTTTCATTGGAATAAGATTTACGAGAAGATGTAAAAACATTTTTTGATTGGTTATTGGTTATGGAGAAAATGGAAAGGAGAGCAAATTAAATGCAATTTGCTTTGAATTGCAGCGAATTAATTAAAATTAATTCTTGAAATTGATAGATTTTTGGAAGAACATGATTAAATTAGAGTAAAGTTGATAATTTTGGTTTATAATTTGGGACAAAAAATGTTTTTTTTCTTATAAGTTGAGACGGAGGGAGTATTTTGCTTGAATTATAAATGTGTATAGCAGTATTGAACTGCAATAGCCTAGCTAGTCTTAAGCTGACAGCTGTCAGTACCACTGCCAGTAGTTATCATCTTACCGCATTATGTTATCTGCGGTCTATGCAAGTTAAACAAATGAAAAAGTGTGATATTTCTAAGGACCCATATATCACACTATAAGTACAACTTGTACACTCTGTTTTTAATAGATCAACATAATATCAAACACTGAAACTTTCTCTTCAGTGTCCTTAGTTTTGTTTCTCAATAGAATTTATTATTTGTGTTTTTTTACCTCCCTTTTGGTTTGATTGAACTTGAATTATTTGGTTGAAGTTTAGTCTTTTGGCTGCTCTTAATGTTTCTTTGAAACGGGATGTCTCACTTGATGCTCCCTTGACATTTTTTTAATATACTGATATGGAAAATATTAGCAGAGAACCTTTCCTTTTTATTTGAGAACAAGGCGGAAGAAGGTTTCACAGCCAGAACATGTATCTGAGCATCTAAAAACTGTAGTTCATAATATATGGAGGCAGTAAGTCTTTCTCAAATACGAAGGTTTAGTTTATAGGTGAAGGCAACAATGGAGTAACTTTATGGATGGTTCAGTGGAATATTTGACCATTAGAAATATTATTTTCAGAATGATTCAGATTACTTAAAAAAATTACAGATAGACCCTTTAGCTTCTTTTGGAGCGTGTTATAGAACCTTTTCACGCTCCTCTTCCACCTATCGCCTATCTAGAGTCTAGACCATCTTACCACCACCACCACCACCACCACCACCAACCACCCCACAACCACCACCAGAAACAAATAATCTTCTCCACCAGGGATTTTCAGTACAATGTACTGCACCCCCCCCACTTTTCTATCTCTGAAAACACACCACAATGCCGCAAACCTAAAACTCTCACCTCAGTGCCATCTATCAACCTTCTCCCTGAAAACCATTACCATAGGCACCCTACTCTCTCAACTATTTATATCCTTCACTTTTGTCCGTGTTCCCAGAAACCCTGACAACTCCAAAAGGATGTTTCCGTAGTTCTCGTTTACAATGTTGTTAGATTAAAATCCCTTCATCTTCTATCAGGTATTGAAGCGACTGAATATTCTAGTCACACAGAGTATTGAGAATGCACAAGCTTTTGTTGGCCATCTTGTGCAGCAAACCGCTGAGCACACCGAGTTCTCATCTAATAAAAATAATGTATTATTGAATCAGTTTATCTTTCTGGTGGGTTGTGTGGTGTAATGGTGTGTCTTTGTGCAGCTTTTCCCCAACTTTATGCTCTTCATGTGGTGCTTCGGTTATGGGTTTCCTTGTTGTAGATAGGTCTAGTTTTTCAAGCCACTTTCATTTTCTTTTTCAGAAATTTGAAGGGTAGAGAAACTGCATAATTTATGATCTTGTTGCTTCAAAGTCTTGATTCTGTTGCTGTTTATGACCTGCTGGACACTAGAATTTGGCTTTTGGGCAAATGTGGTCCCTTCACTTGTATGTCTCTTTGAGTACGTGTTTGCGTCCTTGGTGACTTTTGGTTTCCTTTGAGTAAATTTAATTTGGAAATCTTGGGCCTAATGAAATTCAAAGCTTTCATCCACTATATGTTTCTTAATTTGACAACAGTTTTGGTTATATTTGTTGGTTTTGTTTAATCAAAAGTAGCATTCAAAATTTGCTTTTAAAATTGTTTTGATGTCAACTGTGAAGCATTTTGTTATTGACAGGTCAACTTCAACCTACCAAAGTTGGATGTGAATTTTGTGCACCGTGAACATGGTCTTTCTATTGAAAACAACATCACAGGTATCCAATTGAAAAGCACCAAATCTCGCTCTACTGAGGATGTTGGGGAGAGTACACGCCTTGATTTTCAACTAGAGTTTAGTGAAATTCATGTACGAGTTTGACTGTTAATTATGGTGAAACTCTTTTTTGAATTTTGTTTTGTTTCTTCCTGACAAGTTTTCATTTGACTTATTGATATTACAGCTTCTTAGAGGAGATGGTTCTTCCATCCTGGAGATATTAAAGTTGGATTTGGTTTCTTTTGTATATATCCCTGTACAGGTAGGTTGTTTACAATCATGTAAAGTAGCCCTTGCATGTCAAGATTCAGAAGGAAAGGAGTATAGAAAACTGGAAACTGTAGAATGGATTTTTAATAAGACTTTTCGTTATTCGAACAAGTGTTAGGGTACACCTATTTATACAACGAATTTATATGACTGTTCAACAGAAACTAATACAACAGAAGCCGTTACTGACAGATGTCAGTAACTGCTTATAACATAATGAGAGGTGATATAGTGTACAACAGAAACCAGTACTACAGATCAGTGGCTGACAACTGTCAGTAAACTGCCTTTAACAATAAGAGGTGATACCGTGCTGCAAACTTTGTGGCCTTATCATAGACACTAACATTACATCACTGTAAACCGTTATTCCTTTGTCTTTACTCTGCCTGGCTTAATTTACCCAAAAAAGGGGTTGAATTCCAAACATAATTTTTTTTACTGTATGTAAAGAAAATTTATTGTAAAGCTAACTTGCTGGTGAGGTGTTTAATCATCTATATTTATCGCCCGGGAATTTTTGGTGGCTATACAGTAGTTGGTTTTATACTTGAAGTTATCATTCAAAGCAACATAATCTTGCGAATGTATTTTGGCTGAGAGTTATTGTTGAGAATCTCACAGTGGATAGTGATATGCATGAATAGGGGTTATAATTTCAAAGGGGGGCTTTTGAAATTTCAGAATGTATTATGATTTCATTGTTACAAGATACAACAGATTCAACTCTATTTATAGAGTTGTAGTTAGGCAAACTCTAACTCCCGATAAGCTAGTTTTTGATGTTGAGTTAGGCCCAAATCCGATTTCTAACATTTATCTATAAATTATAAATGCTCAGCTAAAATGGGTGTAAGGGTGGTATTGTTCAAAATTAATTTTCTCTAATTACAATTAAGTATATAAAAGTGCGACCCTGGGGTCATGGGTTCGAACCCTGCTGGAAACAGCCTCTCTGTTATAAAAAACAGGGATAAGGCTGCGTACATCCGACCCCCCAGAGCCCATATAATGAGAGCCTCGTGTACTGGGTTACCCCTTATAATTAAGTATATATGTATAGTTGGACTTAGGAAGTTTCGTCATGCACTTTATAAAAAACAGCTGCGTTTTTTTATGAAGATATGAATAGAATTGGTTATATTTGTAGGATGACATGATACCATAACGTAATACTTCTATTGTACTGGACCCACAACTGACCCTGACATTCTAACAGAAAGATTGGAAAAAATAAATAAGAGGTTTAATTAAAGGAATGATGGTGCCAAAATAAAAACGGAAGTTTTAAGAAAGTTGGAACTTATTTCTTTTGGGTACACAAAACTGAATTTTAAATTCTCATGTTTGTCTTTTTCACGCACTGCTCAATTCTTTTTGCATTTTTTTTTGGGGTTATATTTGTACATGTGTATTTTCATAGAGAGCTTGAAATTTCTTTTTGTATCTGATATGGTAACTTATTATTGTTTTTGGGATTCTTCCTCTGTATCAGCCAATTTCACCTGTTAGAGCTGAAACTGAAATCAAGCTAGGAGGTACTCAGTGCAACATCATGATGAGCCAGCTAAAGCCATGGCTTTTCCTTCATTTGTCTAAAAAGAAAAAAGTGGTTCTTAGAGAAGAAGCTTCTGTTGTCGCAAAGCCACAATCAACTGATGGCGAGATCATCATGTGGACATGCAATGTTTCAGCTCCTGAGATGACAATAGTGCTTTTCGACATGGTTGGTTCACCAGTGTATCATGTAAGTATAGGGGTTATTTTTGCATTCATTATTGTAACAAGTTGCTTATAAAGTGTTAAAAAGTTGAATTGTTTCTTTGGAAAATGTTTCCAGTAGGTGCTATGGCACTAATGCATGGCTAGTTTAATGTCTTATGTGATTTTTTGTTTGTTTGAGATCTTCATGCATCTTAGCTCTCTTTTAATTAAGTGTTCAATTAGATTTAATTTCTACTTTGATGATCTAAAGTAAGGATGTCATTCAAATGAAGTTGAAAAATGGGTCTATTTAAATTACTGTATTTCCAGATACGGTGACACGGCCCACAAAGGGTAAAGAGCTCAAATGATATGCCACATTGCCATGATAATTTTCTTCTTCTTTCTTTTGAATGAGAATTGTACTTATTTTAAGCCCAGATTCCAACAGTTCAATTAATAGGTCTATAAAATGGAAGTAATACTGTGATTTGAAAAATCTTCTCATTGAACTTGAGAGTGATTAAGTATAGGTGGGTAAGCAGAGGTTTCAAGTTCAAATCTTAGCACGCCTATTGATAAAATGAGAACCATTAACTTATCCTGAACTAATAATTTATGTGAATTCAGAACATTTTTCTCTGATGTTCTCCGAGACATTATTGGAAAATAATAATCATTTAAGTATTAACTATTAACTATAAACTAGGTTCTAAAGTGATAAGTAATGTGGTTGGGTCTAACTCAATCCTACAAAACTGACTTATAGGGTGAGGTTGCTCCCACTTATAAAGACATGTTCATGCTAAATATTGTCCGATATGAGATTCTTAACTCATCTCCTCACGTCCAAAATTGGACATCTGGAGCATGGAATCAAATAAATGGTGGGTGACCCGATAGCGGAAACCTGATAGCAGGTGGTCCACCAGATCTTAAACGAGGCTTTGATACCATGTTAAGAAATATGGTTAGGCATAACTCAACCCTACAAAACCGGCTTATAGGGTGAGGATTGCCCCGACCTATAAAGACATGTTCAAGCCATATATTATCCGATGTGAGACTCTTAACACAAAGGTATTAGTTGAGTCTCTTAATGTCTTATCCTTTTTTAATATTTCCTTTTTAGGAGGATATTTTCTTAACACTAGTTGCACTAACATCAAGGAACCATAAGCTTAATGATCAAATCATCTGAATATTTGGTTTTTTGGGATGTTAGAAGATAGAATATTGTGAAAATTACGTAAAATTTTCTAAACTGACATAACATCTTGTAGCGAAGCTTATTGAAGAATACAATCCACCCAAAATAGTAGTGGAAGTATGAAACAGAAAATTTGAAAATTTGATTTTTAAGCGGAAGTTTTTTTTGATGCTATTGCATTCATGACTCCTCTCATTTACCCCCTCTTTTATCTCAAGTAAAATATCTTCTAAAAAAATTAGTTTGACATTATTTAATTCTGAGTAGCAGTACTTTTAGGTTTCTGCTCTTTCGATCAGCCGCCTTTAGAAGAAGCAAGGAGTTAGGATGGAAATTTTATGCGAGTCTAATGGACTAATATTTCCTTTGGCTTTATAAAGCATGCAATTGTTCGATTTTTGAGGTGAGTGTTGTGAAGTTCTGTTTTCAGTTGACGTTTTCCCAGGGTTCGTATGCGTGAATGCAACTGAGAACCCAAAGATTGAATGGTGGTGGTTAGCAAAGATTGAACCAAGAACAGATCAATTGATCATGTGCATCCCACACAAGATAGACTTCTTCCTCACGATTTCAAATCCGATCTGGCTCGGAGAGGAAACATGGAGGAATCTATGGGAAAGTCAATGAACTTTGATAACAGGTTCAACCTGATGACGACAGACGGAGGAAGTTTTTATCATCTAGGCATTCTGTCATGGTGTGGGAAAACAAAACTGTAGCTGTGAATTTGCTGGAAATAGTGTTTTTGGCCAGAGAGTGTGGTGATGCTCTAACCATAGAAAGAGGATCCACTGCAAATGGTGGTGTAGGAGAGATTTAAGAGGAAGGCATGGTTCAAGGTCAAGAGGCTCTGATACATCTTGAAGTTCAGAGAAAACATAGAGAAACTGCAAATGAATATATAACTGAAATGAATTGAACTTAGCTCTGCATCACTGGAAACAGATAGGCAGAGGCTAATGTAGCTTTCATTAGCAGCTGTACATGAGTTAGTAAAACTAAGTGCAACTATACTAACAGCATTCTAATTGTGCTGACAACTTTACTAGCTAAGAGTATATTCTCACAATTTATTGGGGTTTGTTTTGTACGTTTAAAATTGAAATTCCTTTCATTTAATTTATTATACATTTGAGTATCGATAAACACTTGAGTTCTATTGTTTAGAGGTTGTTATCCTTGTTTTACATTTATTGTTTCCCTTTAAATTAGTTGTGCAAAGAAATTTACTTCAGTTTTATTGCTTTTTCAATTCTAGGGATGCTCACAATCATCACATCTGTTTGCAAACAACATTTCAAATACGGGGACGACAGTACATGTTGAACTTGGAGAGTTAAATCTCCACATGGCTGATGAATATCAAGAGTTTTTGAAAGAAAGTGTTTTTGGCGTGGAATCAAATTGTGGCTCAATTATGCACATTGCAAAGGTTAGTTTGGATTGGGGGAAGAAGGACATGGAATCGCCTGAAGATGATGGTCCTAGGCTAGGTTTGTCAATTGATGTGACTGGAATGGGAGTTTATCTAACTTTCAAGCGAATAGCGTCACTCATATCAACAGCAATATCATTTCAAGCTTTATTAAAAACCCTATCGGCTTCAAAGAAAAAATCCACTCACAGCCAAGGGCGATTATCAAAACCTTCAGGGAAGGGAACTCAGATTTTGAAATTCAATCTTGAGAGGTGTTCTGTATATATTTGGGGTGAGACAGGGTTGGATAATGCAACTGTTCCAGACCCAAAGCGTGTTAATTATGGTTCACAAGGTGGTAAAGTTATAATAGATGTCTCAGAAGATGGTACCCCACGCAATGCCCACATAATGCCCACTATTTCCAATGAATGCCAGAAGCTCAAGTACTCTGTCTCTCTTGAAATCTTTCAATTCAATTTGTGCACGAACAAAGAGAAACAGTCCACGCAGATTGAACTTGAAAGAGCTAGATCTGTCTATCAGGAATATATGGAAGAAAATCGGCCAGTAACAAAGGTGGCATTGTTTGATATGCAGAATGCTAAATTTGTACGGCGATCTGGTGGACTAAAACAGATTGCCGTCTGTTCTCTTTTCAGTGCTACTGACATCACTCTTAGGTGGGAGCCTGATGTACATCTATCACTAATTGAACTTGTATTGCAGCTGAAGTTACTGGTACATAATAGCAAGCTTGAACACATGGGAAACGCATCTGATGGTCGGGATGCTACTACTGAATCAGGACATCTTGAAAAGCAGAAGCATAAAGAGTCAATTTTTGCTGTTGATGTAGAAATGTTAAGTATTTCTGCTGGGCTAGGAGATGGAGTTGATGGTATGGTTCAGGTGCAGTCAATATTCTCTGAAAATGCTCGTATAGGAGTGCTCCTTGAAGGACTTATGCTTAGTTTTAATGGGGCTAGGATCTTCAAGAGTAGTCGAATGCAAATTTCACGAATTCCCAGTATCTCTGCTAGCGCATCTGATGCAAAAGGACATGTGGTCACTACATGGGATTGGGTAATTCAAGGCCTTGATGTTCACATTTGCATGCCATACAGATTGCAATTGCGTGCCATTGATGATGTCATTGAGGATATGTTACGAGGTTTGAAGCTCATAATTGCTTCAAAGACAAATTTAATTTTTCCTGTGAAGAAAGATAGCTCTAAAGTTAAGAAACCCAGTTCTGTTCAATTTGGATGCCTTAAATTTTGTATACGCAAGTTAACTGCTGATATTGAAGAGGAACCAATCCAGGGATGGCTCGATGAACACTATCAGTTACTGAAGAAGGAGGCAGGTGAGTTAGCTATCCGGATGAACTTTCTAGATGAATTAATATCTAAGGCAAAACATGGTCCTAAATCTACGGACACCATTAGTTCTTCTCAAGAAGGAAAATTTTCTTTTAACAATATTGAGGTTGATGTAAAAGATGATACTACTGTTGAATCCATAAGAGAAGAAATTTATAAAAGATCATTTCGATCATATTACCAGGCATGCCAAAATCTAGTGTTATCGGAAGGGTCAGGTGCTTATAGAGAAGATTTCCAGGCTGGTTTCAAACCCAGTACTTCAAGGACTTCTCTTCTTTCTATAACTGCATTAGATTTAGATCTAAGCTTGAAAAAAATTGATGGCGGAGATGCTGGGATGATTCAGATTCTGAAGAAGCTCGATCCTGTTTGTCTTGAAAATGATATACCATTCTCTCGACTGTATGGGACAAATATCCTCCTAAATACAGGCTCTCTTGTGGTCCAGCTTCGGAATTACACATTTCCTCTTTTCTCTGGAAGTTCCGGTAAATGTGAAGGTCGTCTTGTGTTGGCTCAGCAGGTAATAAATATTTAAGAGAACCTCATTGTCTCCCTTCCTTCTATAGGCGTTTTTTAAAAACTTGATAGCATTATTCCTGTTATTATATGGAATAATTGTCTTCAAGTTATGCAGTAAATATTAACTGTTACAAGAGAGTAAAGTAAATTAAAAAATTAAGATACCCCCCTTTGAGAAATGCCTGATTGTCATAGTTGTCCCTCTCTTTGAGATAGTTCCAATAGAGAAGACAGTGGGAAGTCCATGAGAAAAAGATAAGATAACCTCCTAAAAAAATGCACAATATTAAAATTAGGAAACTCACATTACGGAACAGAGTTTTTCCTGTCATTCTGCATATTTCTGAGCACCTAAAAGAAGCAAGGTTGATCCGTTTATCTTATAAATGAGCTGACAAAATAATCATTCTTGAAAATTCTTGCATTTCTCTGTAAATTGGGATACTGGCATACAAGTAATTGATTCACTCTGGACAAATCCAGAAGTTCTTTATTGACACAAGCTTTGAAAGGATATCTCATTATATTACTTTATCTCATTACATTCACTTTCTCATTATATTCACTTTATCTTTAAAATCTAAATATTTGTTTTTATTCTTTGGCTCTGGTAAAATAAGCATGACTTTGATACAAATGTCTTATAGAATGATGGGAAGAGAAGTAGCTCCAAGAGTTTTAGCATATATGCTGTTAAGGCTTGCCTTTAAATTATATTAGATATTAATCACATTTGACGTTGAGTTACCATATGAAATAGACTTGAAGTGTTTCCATTGAAATTTACTTGTCTTTGCACTTCCATTGAAGTTTAATTTAAATTAAATTAAAATTTGTCATAAAGGTACTTTTTCGATTTAGTATAATGTATATCATATCATTACTTGGTCAATCTCAAAGATATAACAGTATCTAGTTTGTTAGAAGGTTCGCATCAAAACCAGGATATGATTAGACCTTATCCAACTCTCTTATCCTATCTGTGTTTGTCCTATCCTGACCATCAAACCAGCCATACAGTTCTAGATGTAGTTGAATACTTTTATGTTCTGTTCCATATTTTGGTTGTGATTTTTCCTATGACTCTTAAAATTGAATTAGAATTTGTTTTATTCTATAGATATGGTCAAAGCAGGGAAAGAACACAATTCTAAAAATGCATAGGCTCATATGTTGTTTAGAAGTAGAATAGTTTTAGGGTAGTTACTTACTAATACTATAGGTATAAACGTATAATTCTTAGTATAATTTATACTATCAAAGAGGACAAGACAACCACTTCATTAAATAGGGGGAGAGACAACAAGTTACTAGTGAAAATCATGGTAAATGAATTTGAATAGTTCTGTTGTTTAAGACGTGTCTTATATATCTAATTACTACTTTATACACGTTTACATGATTGCATGTTTCCTGCTAGTCATACTGGTATATTTCTTTACCCTTTTTGGGGACTTGGCTACATTTTGTGCAGTAGTATTTCCGTTCCTTTGCCTTATTTATTTGTTTTAACTAGGCAACTAGCTTTCAACCACAAATATATCAAGATGTCTATGTTGGGAGATGGAGAAAGGTTCGCATGCTACGATCGGCCAGTGGTACTACTCCACCTATAAAGACATATTCGGATTTGCCAATACATTTCCACAAAGGCGAGGTATCATTTGGGGTGGGTTATGAACCAGCTTTTGCTGATGTTAGCTATGCTTTTACTGTAGCACTTCGGAGGGCTAATCTAAGTGTTAGGAATCCTGGTCCACTTATTCCGCCACCAAAAAAGGAGCGGAGTTTACCATGGTGGGATGACATGAGAAATTACATACATGGAAAAGTTTCCCTACTGTTTTCTGAATCAAGATGGAATATTTCGGCAACTACAGATCCATATGAAAAGGTTGATAAACTTCAAATTGTAAGCAGCTGTATGGAAATTCACCAGTCTGATGGTCGCGTTTTTGTTTCTGCCAAAGATTTTAAGTTTTTATTAAGTAGTTTGGAAAGTTTGGCAAATCGATGTGGTTTCAAAATTCCAACAGGAGTCTCTGGTGCATTTTTAGAAGCCCCTATCTTTACTCTTGAAGTTACAATGGACTGGGAATGTGGATCTGGAGATCCCATGAATCATTATTTATTTGCTCTACCAGTTGAGGGAAAACCTCGCGACAAAGTATTTGATCCCTTCCGATCGACTTCTTTTTCTCTCCGATGGAACTTCTCTCTTAGACCCTTTCCTCTTTCATTAGAAAAACATTTCCCAGCTTCCTTTTCTAGAGATAATACTGAAGGAGGTGCTACTGTATTTGATCCTCCTCATGTATCTCAAAATGTTTCGCGCATGTCGCCTACATTTAACTTTGGAGCTCATGATCTAGCATGGATATTAAGATTCTGGAACTTGAACTACAATCCTCCACATAAGCTGCGGAGCTTCTCTCGTTGGTCGCGTTTTGGAGTTCCGAGAGTTGTCAGGTCAGGCAATCTTTCACTAGATAAAGTGATGACTGAATTCATGCTTCGTCTAGATGCCACCCCAGCTTCTATTAAGAACATGCCTTTAGATGATGATGATCCAGCCAAAGGACTGACTTTTACAATGACAAAACTTAAGTATGAACTGTGTTATAGTAGGGGCAAGCAAAAATATACTTTTGAAAGCAAGCGTGATATTCTTGATCTTGTTTACCAGGGTCTTGACTTTCATATGCTCAAAGCTTTCATAAATAAGGAAGCCTGTGCTAGTGTTGTTAAAGTAGTTAACATGATGCTGAAAAGTTCACAATCTATAACAGACAAAATCACCTCTGACAAAGGTTACATGACAGAGAAAAATCGTGATGATGGGTTTCTATTGTCCTCTGATTACTTCACTATCAGAAGACAATCCTCAAAGGCCGATCCTGCCAGGTTACTTGCATGGCAAGAAGCAGGGAGAAGAAATGTTGAGATGACATACGTACGGTCTGAGTTTGAAAATGGGAGTGAAACTGACGAGCATGTGCGGTCTGACCCAAGTGATGACGATGGTTACAATGTGGTTATAGCTGACGGTTGTCAGCGTGTGTTTGTCTATGGTCTTAAGCTTTTGTGGACTATTGAAAACAGAGATGCTGTTTGGGCTTGGGTTGGTGGCCTATCCAAAGCCTTTGAGCCTCCTAAGCCTTCTCCATCTCGGCAATATGCACAGAGGAAATTACTCGAGGAAAACAAAAAGCACGATGGAGCCGATTTAGGTCAAGATGATGTTTCAAAGTGTCTTGCATCTGGTAAAATTTCTAAGTCACCCCCTTCTCAGCAAGCAGGTACTTCTGGGTCAATTTCTTCTCCATCAAACTCAGTTAAGGAGGACACTTTGCTATCTGGTATGCCTTATATCCTCATTAACTTTCGTTAACTGCTATGAATTCGAAAAATATGCAAAATTAGATTGGAGACCAGTAACACACGATAAATAGATAGTTAAATATACCATCTATTGCTACAAATAGTATTATTGCTTGCAAGATCATTGAGCTTTTTTTTTATTAAGCACAAATATTTCCACCGAGTTTTATTCCCACTCTGTTTCCTCTTTTTGGTGCATTGATAGCTAAGATGGAGAACATAGATGATTCAGATGGGACTCGACACTTCATGGTGAATGTCATTGAGCCTCAATTTAATCTTCACTCGGAGGATGCAAATGTAAGTTTACTAAATGTAAACACTTAAAGCAGCAGCTTTTGGGATTGCCTTCAATTTTGTTTTTTTATTAAATTCCTTATGACACTTTTTCATTTGATTTTCTGGTATTGTCAATCAATTTACTTAGCACCTTCTTTTGTTTTGAACTTATACATATGCTTTCCTCTTAGTGGTGGCCCCCCTTCTATTTGCAGATTTAATTGTCGGTGATTGTTAGTAACAATAACCGGAAATTTGTTACTTCTTTTACCTCCTTGGTGCTTCGTTTCTTTGTTTGATATTTTTATTCATTTATTGATCTTCTAGAAATCGTTCATGCTTTTAAAACAACCTCACTTTTTTTTTGACAAACAGGGTAGATTTCTGCTGGCTGCTGTCAGTGGCCGTGTTTTGGCTCGGTCTTTTCATTCAGTCCTTCATGTTGGTTATGAGATGATTGAGAAAGCTTTTGGTGCTACGGACGTACATATTGGTGAATACCAACCTGAAATGACATGGAAAAGAATGGAGTTCTCTGTTATGTTGGAGCATGTACAGGCTCATGTTGCACCAACAGATGTTGATCCTGGAGCTGGATTGCAGTGGCTTCCGAAAATTCTTAGAAGTTCTCCAAAAGTAATGCGTACAGGTGCTCTTCTCGAGAGAGTTTTTATGCCCTGTGATATGTATTTTAGGTACACAAGACACAAAGGGGGCACGCCAGAACTGAAAGTGAGCTATTTTTTTACTTATGTTGTTAACATATAAATGAGTCTTTTTTTCCCTTAGTAAGTCAATATATTCTAAGATATGCAAATCTTAGAACAGTTTGTTTCTCTAGTCTTAGAATTGTGGTTGGCCCTAACACATGCCCACAAAACTGACTCGTGAGGTGAGGATCATAAACATATTTTCAAGTCAAATTTCATCTAACGTGGAACTCTTTAACACACCCCATCTTGCCCAACACTATTGGGCTTGGTGCATGATTATAATTGGTGTGTGACCTGATAACAGAAACCTGATAGCAAGTAGTCTAATGGATCTTGAACGAGACTCTAATACCATCTTAGAATTGCGGTTAGGCCTAACACAACCCCATACATCAGGCTTCATTTATAAACATATGTTCAAACCATATTTCATCCGAGGTGGAACTCTTTAACATCTAGTTAGTAAATGTCATTTCTCATGGCTATCAATACTCTATTTCAAATGTTTCATTTTAGTTTAAACACGAGTCCTACTGCAGGTGAAACCTTTGAAGGAGCTCACATTCAATTCTCGTAATATAACGGCAACAATGACATCTCGCCAGTTTCAGGTCATGCTGGATGTGTTGATCAATCTTCTCTTTGCACGCCTACCAAAGTAAGGACCAGCCTACTATCTCCCAACGTTCATTCTAAATTACTTTTTTCTTTTCAAATTTTACCTATTTAAAACACAAGCATGCTGCGACTCACTCCTAATCATAATGCTAATTATCTCTTATGTAACGTAGCAATTCATTTTTTATGTTTACAACATTGATTGCTCTTTCAAATTTGATGCATTAGTATCGGTCAGATGGTTAATAAAAAAAGGCATTGTGGCATAAATGACGAGTTGACTACATAAGCTAGGATCATGGTTGACTTTATTGAAAATAAGAGAAAATGAGAGGCAATTGGTAAAACTGTGTTTGATTAGCACCACAGAAGTTTTTTATATTAGGAATTACACAGTTAAGAGTATTAGTTACAAAAAGAAATATGCTACAAAATATTCTATTCTAAGAATGTATTTGCAAATATCAACACTTCCCCTCAAACTGGAACATATAAATCAAATGCACCAAACTTGTCACACATATAATTAATTCTAGACTTCGTAGGGACTTAGTAAATACATCTGCCAATTTTGACCATTAGAATTGACAAAGCTTGTGAGAATGTCGCTTGATTCAATCTCTATGACAAAATGACAGTCTGTCTCAATATGTTCTTTTCTCTCATGAAAAAATTGATTTGAAGCTATATGCAATGCAACTTGAGCATTGAGCAACTACTTCAACCTAATGAACTCACATGTTACCAGTGCCGTGGCCCTATATTCTTCCTCAGAGCTTGATCTTGCAAATACATTTTTTCTTACTTTTCTAGGATATCAGGTTTCTTTCAATTGTAAAATTATCAGACCATCTTTAGATTAGTCTGCCTCAATACATAAAAAGTAGTGTAGTTTACCATGTCTTTCGTTTTAAATTGATTCAAAAGATGTTATTTCAATTGGAGTATTCTTTGTCGATCACCATTAGTTATGACAATATCATCAAAAGAAAGTGGTTCAATTGGGAAAGCACGGCGAAGGGTTGCTTCTCAATAGACTCTATATACCATATTGAAATAAGAGAAAACAAGAGACATTTCCTGAAACCGCGTGTTTGAATAGCACCATGGAAATTCTATTATATAGGGAATTGCATAGTTAAGAGTATTAATATGCTACAGAATATTCTATTCTAAGATTATGCTTTCAAATATCAACAGGCTTCTTTCAAGAAGTTCAACTCCCTGAGATTTCATTTGTGGTATAGTTATTTGGTATACTGAAGCTGAAGCCTCACATCAGCCTATACCTCTGTTTATTATTGACTCTTAACTTCTTTATTGCAGATACTGACTTGAAATAGTGGTTAGATGTTATCACTGCTTGAGTAGTTTTCTTTTGAGTTTTACTCTTTTTTTTATTTTTTTTTATTTTTTAATTCTGTGAAAATAATCATATCAATGTGTTTTTTAAGAATTTTATTCACTTTAGCTATAACTTTGATCATCAAGTTTTACATTGATATGATCCTTTTTGTTTTTTGGCTTTCAAGTAACCTAAATGAAACCCATTATATTTTATGATATATGATGAGTTCTTCCAAGTAAATGTGTATTGTACTCAACTCAGGCCTCGGAAAAGTAGCCTGTCCTTTCCAGCCGAAGATGATGATGATGTTGAAGAAGAAGCAGATGAGGTGGTTCCTGATGGTGTTGAAGAGGTGGAGCTTGCAAAAATTAATCTTGAAAAAAGACAAAGGGAACAAAAGTTGCTTCTTGATGATATTCGAAAAATGTCTCTTTGGTGCGACTCTCCTGGAGATGTACATACTGAAAAGGAAAGTGACTCGTGGATGATAACTGGCGGAAGATCTATGCTGGTAAGAAATGAACCTGATCAACAATATTTTAACTGACTTGAAAGTCTTGGTCAAATTATAGTTGCTTATTGTTAAATCTTCCAGCTCTTCTATACAAAAATATGAAATCAATTATGTACTGTGCTTAGTGATAATTTTGTGCTTGTTTATACTTGAAATATTCATCCAAGAGCTTGCACTGAGATGCATGCATTTTGCATATGATATAGTCCTATTTAGAGAGTCGAATGAGAGTTTAAATGAGAGGTTGGAGACGAGCTTTAGAAACACATGGTTTCCGCCTAAGAAGTAAGATGGAGTATATGTAATGTAAGTTCAGCAAAAGAAGAAGCATTTCTAATCTAGAGGTGAAAGTTAAAGACCATATCATCCCCAAGTCACAAGGTTTAAATATCTTGGGTCCATAATTCAAAATGATGGAGAAATAGAAAGGGATGTAAAACCATTGAATTCAAGCTGGGTGATTGAAATGGAGGAGGATTTCAGGGGTTTTAAGTGACTCAGGTACCGCTCAAGCTGAAGGGAAAACTTTATCGGACTGCGGTAAGACTTGTGGTGTTGTACGGGAGAGAATGTTGGACTATTGAGAATCAACACGAAAATAAAGTTAGTGTAGCGTTGATGAGGATGTTGTGTTGAATGTGAGATAAGAGTAGACAAGATAGGATTATAAATGAAAATATTAGAGCGTTGGGCTAGCACCTATAGTATAGAAGATGGTGGAAAAGATACTTAGGTGGTTTGAGCATGTAGAGAGAAAAACTGTAGATTCTGTGGTAAGGAGAGTAGATTTGATTGAGGGAAGTCAAAAAATTACATGAAGACCTAGAAAGACTATAAGAGAAAGAAAGATCTTGAGATTAACTATTTAGATATAATGCTAATATATTTGGTGTTTTAATAGAACTCTTAGAATTTTGGATTTGGCCTTCTCAACCTTACAAAACCGGTTTGTAAGATGATGATTGTCCTTTTTTATGAACATGAATTCTAGCCATATCTCTGATAGGTCTGTTATTGTTAGTTAAGAAGTTGTTACTTGTTAGTTAAATACTCCCTCCGTAACGATTTATAAGCAAAAAACACACATTTTTCTTGTTACAAAATTTAAGCAAAAAAACATCAACTTCATTTAATATAAGCATTTTATTCCAAAAATGCTTCTTTTCAAAGATAAAATTAAATACAAATTATATTTAATATGCTTTCTCTCATTTTTTCCATAAACAATTGTTGAAGTTGATAGTTGTGTTGTTCAAGTCCCACATTGCTTAGGTTCCCAGGCTATTGAATGTATAGACATGTGAGGGCAATTCACTCTTTGAGTTAGTTTTTGGGGTTGAGGTCTAAACATTTTTATCATGGTATCAGAGCCGGGTTAAGGACTGCAATGTGGGCAACTGACTCGGGTCCATGCTAGGTGTTAGGGTGGGTGTTGAAGTTGATAGTTGTGCTGTTGGAGTTGTTTGAAGTCCCACATTATTTAGGTTTCCGGACTGTTGAATGTATAAATATGCGAGGGCAATCTTACCCTTTGAGCTAATTTTTGGGATTGAGATCCAAACATATTTAACAACAACAATCACTTGAAATTGTTTTTACATCTTTCCATAAAAGATATTTAAAAAAAACTACAAAAATTTGAATTTTCATAGTAAGTGTGAAATTTTTGAATTTTGCTTATAGGGTGTAGTTGTTTAGTTAGTTAAATAGTTAATGAGTCGTTAGTAGTTCACAATTTCTTTTATTATTTTTGATATAATTATTTGTCATTTTTCTATAACACCTTAACTATGTACTATTATCTCATTCCACATATTTCTCGTTGCCTAAAATACTAAGGGTATTATAATTATATACAAAACAATAATTAATGTTGCATTAAACTTTGAAAATGGCAAATAATTAGAAAGAATTTTTTGTGATACAGCGACAAGTAATAGGGAACGAAAGGAGTATATTATTATTAATAAGGATATTTTAGTCACAAAACTCATTTTATCATGAAAGTATACTCGATGGTTTTCTTAAGAAGTGTGCATAACCTTACATGCCACTTAATGAGACGGAGGGAGGGAGTAGTTTTGAGATGTATTTTGTATTTGCATTCATCTTTCAATATATGACAAATGTTCATGCCTACTAAAACACCGGCAGGTCCAAGGATTGAAGAGAGAGCTATTAAGTGCACAAAAATCTAGAAAAGCAGCATCTGTAGCACTAAGGTTAGCTCTTCAAAAAGCTGCTCAGCTAAGGTTGACAGAGAAGGAGAAGAACAAAAGTCCTTCATATGCTATGCGGATATCTCTGCAAATTAACAAAGTTGTTTGGAGCATGCTTGTTGATGGTAAATCCTTTGCTGAAGCCGAGATCAATGACATGGTAAGATTTATGTAGCAAGCTTGTTCTGTCACTTTTCTCGACGTTCACTTCCAAAACTGGCAGAGTCCATTACCAAATTGCTTCACGGAAAATATAAACTGTTGTCTTTATCAAGTGTACTCTTGAAATATAAGTATGTCCTAAAAGTTTCTCGTATTAGTGGTTAAATTTTGTACATGGTCTGCATCGAAACAAAACTGATCTTTTTCTACGTTAACAAGCCATTCAATGTCTTAACCTGACTGCTATTGGGACCAAGGAAAAAATCACATCAGTCTTATTTAGTTTTTCTTTCTTGACCAGATTCAAATGTCTGAGAATTGTGGTTCTTGCTAGCTCAGTTTTGCAACTTTCCAATTCTTTTTCTTTTTGGTCTCAACTTGCAAGAGTATGCTAATTCTGTTTAGTTTTTGCAAACACTTAGATATATGACTTCGACCGCGATTACAAGGATGTCGGTGTTGCCCAGTTTACAACAAAATATTTTGTTGTCAGAAACTGCCTGCCTAATGCCAAGTCTGATATGCTTTTGTCTGCTTGGAATCCTCCAACCGAATGGGGAAAGTATGTAACTCTTCCTAGACTTTATTTTAGTTTATTGGTGCTTACAGGTCAATGTTTTGATATTTGTTGATTTTCTGTTCCAAGGGTTGTTTTAATGGTTATAGAGGAGTTAGGTCACTTTGTGATTATGTTTGAAATTCTAGTCGAACTCCATCCACCCTCCCTTTAAGTTACTACTATAAATGGCTTATTGTCTCTCTTCTACCAACTTGTTGTATTTGTGCTCTTGATATCGTTGAACATGGCTACTAGCCCTATGAATCACTAGCGCTGCTCCTGTTTTCATCACTGAACTATAGAGGATGGACCTTGTTGCATATGATAATAAATGTTGTACATTAGTAGTAATTCATGTTTTAGTATTATTAGTAGTAATTCATGTTTGGACCTTTAGTAAGGCTCATTAGGTTAGAATATTCTATATAAAGAGATTAGAGCTTGTATATTCATTATCACTATATAATATTCTGATTTTACATGGTATCACGAGCTATCGTTTGAGAGGGTCTTGCTTATGCATAAAAAACCCTAGTCGTCTTAATTATGGTTCTTTTCTCAAAAACTATAGCCACTTTAATTGCGGTTACTGCCTTCATTGATGTCCTGTTTAAAAACTTGGGTGCACTGTTCATACATCCTCCCCTATCTTCGTCAATTTTTTACCTCACTGCTCACACCACCATAGTCACGTTGAAAAGACTTGCCAAAATCCAGAATTTTACTGCCGCCAGAACCGCCACGCTCCACCACTGTCTGGCAGCCATTGTGGCGCGTGAAGGCATTTTGAACACTTTTATAAAAAGTCAAAGTACGGGTACGTTAAAGAACTAAATTGTTAGGTTCATAACAAAATATCACTAAAAAAGTTTAAGAAAATAAAAAATAATGTTAAGATACAATAAAATAAGAAATTAAAATACATAAATACTAGTATAATGAAAAAAATGAAATACTACGAGTACGGTACGTGTACCCGATACGGGTGCGTACCTACCGGTGCTTCGCCATTTTAGAAGTACCCATGCTTCAGAGATTATAATTATTAAGTATAATTGTTCCTTTAAATCTGTGTATTTTTTATTTTGAAGTATTTATTTATGTAGTTGGAATTTATGTTTACTATGTACTACATTATTTTTTAGTCTTCTCAATAGTGGTTGTTCTGCTATCCTCTATGCCACCATAGCATTTTGGGGGTGCATAGCTATCCACAATCAACAACCTAGTACTGCACCCTATTGCACCGAGACTCCTCCTCTTCATTCATCCGCATTTTTATTTTGAAAATTTTCTATGCACTTTGTCAGGTGTGAGCAGCTGCATGTTGGATCCTGCTGTGTTTGTGTTCCTTATTGCAAGTGTCATATGCTTAACTGCTTTCTTTTTAATGAATGTTTTTCCAGAAAAGTGATGCTTCGGGTTGATGCACAACAGGGAGCTCCAAGAGATGGAAATTCTTCTCTTGAACTTTTCCAGGTAATTTATTTTGGGTTCCTTTTCTAATTTGTGTTTTTTCCTTTCTTGCTTTTTTGGTTGGTATTTGGTTAAAGATAGGGCCATTTGGTCATACCGTAATAGAGTTATCTCATGTGTACGTTCTCCAAAAATAAATAATATTGTCTAGTTAGTTCCAAGAAGGTTTTGCGCCGATTCCCTGCCTAATTTAAGAATTTGAAATTTTAAGATTACATTCCTGTAGGTGTGGGATTGATGTCTGTTAACATCAAGTGACCCGTTTAAATGTTATAAACAACTGTATATCATTGATAGAGTATCATAAGAGAGAGAGAGAGATAAAGTAAAGTATGTATTTCATATTGATGATTATGAATGAATGGATACAGAGGCTCTTATATAAAGCAGCTACGAAATAACCAACTGTTACACATCAGCATAACAAACTAACAGAATATAGCTGGCGTAACTAACATACAATAAACCCTATTCACTCTATTAATCATAAACATGCCTAAATTACACTTTTCTTTGAAAAAAACTATTATTTTGTGAATTTCACATTTGTAACACACATTTAATTGGAACGAAAATGTAAAATGTGAATATCAAGGAGCTAGAAATATGGAAATGTTATATCTCCATTCTGTGGATTTTTCTGCAAAATATAGAATTTATGCCCTCTTTCTCTCTAAAAAGTTTAGAAGATATAAGAGATATGTCTTCTCGGTAGGCATGGGCAGTCAAGCACGGGATCTTAAGTAGGACCGGACAGCCTCGTAGCACGGCACTTAAGATCTTACCAAAGGGCAAAATGGTAAATTCACATGGACAAAAGCACCACTTTCAGCAGTTGATCAAACATTTTGTGACCCTTTATTTAAAGCATTACAGAGGGCAGAACAGTGGTAGGAAGAAGATGAACGCGAAATGGGGATAACAGGGGGAGAAGAACAAAGATGATAGCTGAGGGAGAAGAATGGCGAAGATGATGGTGGAAAGTTTCAGATTTTCTTAAAGGAGGAGAGTATCGTGTAAAGAATGGATGCAGCCGTTTTGCGTTTTGTGTTTTAGGGTTAGGACTTCAGAGAGAACTTAAGTAAAACAAAAAAACCGGGTTCACTTAAAAAAATCCGACCTGGTTAGAAAGCCCAACAAAACAGGCCCAGCACTATGGTTTTTAGGATCTTACCTTAAAAAACTCGATCTTGACTACTAAGACACACGAAAAAGTTTTTTGTAAGATCTTAGCACTAAAAGGCAATTTCAGATCATATGATCTTAAGACCCAGCTCTCGATCTTGACTACATTGGGCATGGCAATGGGGATCGACCCCGTGGTTATCCGCAACAACACACCTTAGTTTGAACGGGAAAACACACTTTGATCGTTGTAAATTTTCTTTTCATACATTTGAGTCTCAGAAAATCACCATTTAGAGTGCCCTGTTTTAGTCCATGTCATCAATATCCGGATGCTATATGCTGACGTGTAAAAGTTTCTCTTCCACCCTAATTATTTCTACCTAATCATGCACCTCTTTCAAAGTTTACTCCAAGAGAGTCTTTCCGCCACTCACATGCTTGATATTCACATTGGCACTCCTCAAATTTCACTTATCCAATTCATGGATGCAATTCTTAGCCTTAAACCAAAAAGAAAAGCTAAATGCACACCAGAAAAACTCTCATAAATCTTCCCTACGATCATTGTAAGGTTGTATAAGTTCTCCATTGCACAATTAAATAATTACTAAAAATTTGTATTACCATATAATTCACATATTAACAATTATGTCCTGTTATTTTCTTATTTCTTCCTAGTACACAAGCTATATTTTAAGCTTGTTTTTTCATGATTCAGAATATGGCCTACATTTTGAAGTTGTGCTCTAACTAATGTGAAAATACTTTCAATTATAGGTAGAGATTTATCCCCTTAAGATCCATTTAACGGAGACGATGTACAGAATGATGTGGGAGTATTTCTTTCCAGAAGAAGAACAAGATTCCCAAAGGAGGCAGGTTAGTTTAGGATTAGAAGTCCTTATTACCCCGTCTGTTAAAACCAAGGTTAAATTTGCAGATACATTTGGTCAAAAGTTATATTGGGAGTTATTTATACAGGAAGTTTGGAAGGTTTCTACCACTGCCGGTGCAAGGCGTGTAAAGAAAGGTTCGCTCCTTGAAGCTTCTGCTTCAAGCAGTCACTCAATAAAAGAGACCGAGGCCTCATCTAAATCTGGCATATCTGCAATGCTATTTCCTGCAACAAGTCAGCTTCCTGTCCATGCTGTATCAGCTCAAGTAAGCATTTGATTATTTGTCGAGTACATGGTTCTATTATTAAATTACTAATAATATAGAGGATAATATGAAAGGCGGCATTGGTGGGAGAGGTAGAGAAGAATACAGTTCTGTTCTTATGTTCTTATATTAATTTTAGATGTTAGCTAGATTACCATAAGGAGTTTTTGTAACCTGCCTGCAGATATCCAAAGTGCAAAGTGCCAAAGAAAACCCCAGTACTAGTATAGCCCCTGAGTTGAGAAGGACATCATCTTTTGACCGAAGTTGGGAAGACACTGTTGCCGAATCTGTAGCTAATGAACTTGTTTTGCAAAGTTTCTCTTCCTCAAAAGATGTCCCATGTAGTTCTGCCGACCAACACGATGAAGCCAAGAATAAATCAAAAGATTCCAAAGGTGTTAAAGGTGGCCGCTCTTCTCATGAAGAAAAAAAGTTGGCTAAGTCACATGAAGAGAAGAGATCAAGGCCACGGAAAATGATGGAGTTTCACAACATCAAAATTAGCCAGGTTGGTGGTTTTGGGCTTTTGGTAAAGCTATTGTCTATTTTCACTTATGATGCAACATTTCAAATATCTGCTAAACACAGTGCATTGTTTCTTGCAGGTGGAATTATTGGTTACATATGAAGGACAGAGGATTGTTGTAAATGATCTCAAGTTACTTATGGATCAATTTCACCGTCCGGAGTTTACTGGGACTTGGCGAAAACTCTTTTCCAGAGTTAAGAAGCACATCATCTGGGGGGTCCTGAAGTCTGTGACTGGAATGCAGGTCTATTTTCATTTTGTTGGTTATAGCTGATGTTTTCTTTTGAACTCAGATACCTTATATATACCTACCGCTGCAAATTTATGAGTATTTTCCTTTGGATCATGTATTCAATATCTAGATCTATTTGGTGGCTACTTTTAACTGTTTATCTACTGAAGTCCCTTACATATTTTACCTATTCTTTGGATCACGCAGGGTCGGAAATTTAAAGATAAAGGTCAGAGTCAGCCTACTGGAGCTGGTGTTCCTGAAATTGACCTCAATTTTAGTGACAATGAAGGCCAAGGAGGAAAGTCTGATCAATATCCGCCATCTTGGCCCAAGCGTCCAGGTGATGGTGCAGGTGATGGATTTGTGACATCTATTAGAGGACTATTCAGTACTCAGCGTCGCAAGGCAAAGGCATTTGTTCTCAGAACTATGAGGGGTGAAGCTGAGAATGATTTTCCAGGTGATTGGAGTGAAAGCGATATGGAATTCTCTCCTTTTGCTAGGCAGCTGACCATTACAAAAGCTAAAAAACTTATTAGGAGGCACACTAAGAAGTTCCGCACCAGAGGACCAAAAGGTTTGCTAAATTGTTTCCTTTGTGCTATTGCTTTTGCATATATGACTGCTTAATATTCATTCAATTTCTGGAACTTTGTTTTTTTAATTTTGTCTAAAAGAACAATATATTACGGGAAAGAAAGGAGTGTACATGTATGGCCAGAAGTTATTTTTAAGATGAGAAATTCTTCAAAAGAAACAGCAAAGAAAGCAAGCCAACATGGCAACTAGAGTGCGACTAAATTGTCTTCTAAATCTGTTAATAAACCAGTAACATATCTTCTGCAAGTAAATGCACCAAATGATTTTTTATGTAAAAAATTTAGGGTGAGGGGATATGCCTGTGTCCAAGGTTGGGAAGCTCTTACTGTTCAAAGAGCACCTACAATTACTGTTACCTCCCTCCAATGATACTAGCAGAGCTCGAACTTGGAACCAAACTTGGAACCGCCGGATCCAAGGTCTATCTTTTTACCACTAGCCCAAATCCTTGGAGCTTACACTAGACAATTGTTAAAACAGCCCATAAATTCAGATATTCTTTACTTTTTCTCTAAACCTTATTAAACTGATCTTTGTTTTAAGAAGCCAGGCAACAATCAGAATAGAAGGCCCAACTCCAAAAACCAGCAAAACTAAATCCAATCGATATCAAAGTGTTCACCGGTAAGATCTGATAGATATTGTTAAGAGTCTACATCGAACAATATATGGCCTGAACATGTCCCTATAAGTGGGGGCAATCCTTACCCTACAAGCCGGTTTTGTAGGACTGAGTTAGGGCTAAACCACACTTTTTAACATGGTATCAAGAGTCTCGTTTAAGATCCGGTGGGCCACTTACTATCAGGTTTCCGCTATTGGACCACCCATTATTTATTTCTATGCTCCAGATGTCAGTCTCGGGCGTGAGGGGATGTGTTAAGAGTCCTACATCGGACAATATATGGCCTGAACATGTCCTTAAAAGTGGGGGCAATCCTCACCCTACAAGTCTGTTTTTGTAGGTTGAGTTAGGCCTAAATCACACTTCTTAACATATATTATCCATTAAAATTAGTTGCTTTACCTATTATGCACGCAAACGGGCTACTGTTTCCAAACTATTTACTCATGTAAGGAAAGAGACGTCTTTGGTCTACTACACAAGTGTTAAGAATACTCTCTTTATAACTCTCTCTCAGACACTCGCTCTCTTATTGGATGAAACACACGAGTCTCTCACTTTCAAAATGGGTCCCACATAAAGCAGTTGGATCCACGTGTGTTTTACTCAATAAAAAGATGAGGTGTGTTGAAAAGAGAGTGTTTTTAGTATTTCTCATCTACTACATGTCAATTGTATTAATCCTTGTAAGGAAGGCTCAACATTGGAGTGAGTTTCAAACTTCCAAAGTAAAACCATGAGTTCTTTATTCACTTGTTTCTGCATTACTTGATTGGATTTCAAGTTTATATTTTGGTGATAATTTTTAGTGTAAATAAAACTAGTATATTATGTTTGTGAAGCTGTATTCATTTTTGGTCTTCTACCTTTATTTTTTTTCCTCTGTTGTATTTTGTTTTTACTTAGTTATTTGAATACCCTACATTATGATTATACTAACTTTTATAAATCTAACCTTTATGAGTATGGCAAACTCACCTTAGCTTTTTCAACGATTGTATGTACTCTTATTTTGTTAGAGTTCAGCCAATCAAATTATAGAGTTCAGCTACCTTTCTTGCAAAGTTAGCTAACATATCTGTTTTGATATTTGACTTCCTTGTCTGATTTATTCATTCTGGTCAAATCCTATCATGTTCTCTGGATTACTTGAGGATGAAGTTTCAATCTCTTGCAGGTTCGTCTTCCCAACAAAGAGAATCGTTACCATCATCTCCAAGAGAGACAACCACATTTGACAGTGATTCTTCAAGTGGATCCTCACCATATGAAGATTTTCACGAGTAGAAATGTTCATAGTTATCAAAGAATTTCATACTTTTCGTTCATGATACACATTTGATCTAGTTCTTACATGCTCTAAAGGATACACTAATATGTGAGATGATTTCTCTATGTTAAGAGCAGCAGTTGAAAACTGCAATGTGTACATCCTGAGCTGAAGGGCACCTGGAATGGAAACAGAAATACGTGACTGATGTCAATTGCTATCAAATATGTATATTCGTGGTGATCCTAGTCAGACTCTAGTCATTGGTGATAAAGAGCCGTTCATCTGACATATTCCATTCCACATAAACCACACATCTAATGTTTTATACCTTAACAACATGAGTTTCAGTGATCAAAGAGCTTGTGGTCGTCTCTTTGCTCAATCACATCAACAATATCCGGGTTGTATATTCTTGTAGCTTCTTGTCAGTTTTCAATTTTGGCTTAATTTATTAGATAATAATATGCTAAAGGTTGACAAGATTTTTATGTATAGACATTTGATCATATTTTGATAAAATAGAATAAAATCTATATTTTTATTTTGCAAATCGGGATCCTTACATAGACTAATGCATTTAAATACTACTTTGAATGAGTAGATTTGAAATTCATCGCCAGATTGTATGTTAAGATTTGTTTTTAGATTAAGATATCCAACTATAGATGATTTTTAATGTTACTATTCGTTAGTTTCCTCTTTTTAATCATGGTCGTGGGAGTTTGCAAATATGAAATGCAATTGTAACTGGATTTTAGTCCAATTCAAACCAAGTACTGAGTGGATAAATTGATTTTTTTTAAATTGTCAGTAGTGGTTAAAATGAGAATGATCTTATTTGTATGATTAACCTTCTCGTAAATCAATTTAATAGAGACTATTTTTCATTTTAACCAGATCAAATGATAGAATTACAGATTTTATAGAAAGAGTTGTCGATTAACACTCCGCTTGTTCAATCAATAAACGATTTCTACGAGTCTTAAAACATATATTAAAACTTCAAACTACTATATCATGATAACAAGTCTATGTTAGAAGGAATCCAAATAAAGAGAAAATAGGAAACAATATGTAATATGTATATCATAGCTGACAGTAGTTATAATTGCCAATAGTTAGTTAGGAAGAGGGAAAAGTTGTTGGAAATTAGTCAATTAATAGAAGAATTAGTTAAAATGGCAAGTGCATATATGAACTTAAATTCATCTTAAGTTAATAAAATATCAAATGTTTTGAAACAGACTGGGTTTTAATATATAGTTGTTTGTATTGATATTTATTTATTCCACTGACCGATTTTTTTTTTCATTTCTATTTTTTGACTTTTCGTTTGACTTTCTAAAATTTCTGATTTTCGCGGTAAATCTCTAAAATATGTTTTCTTCCTCTTTATTAACAAAAGTTTTAAGGCACATTTATAACAATCTCCACTTTGACTTTAAAGCGTGTTGGTACCAATTTAACATGTTCTCTATCAAGTTGAAACTCTAATCAATAACCTTGATCAAATTCAAGTAACTCTTAAATCTTGATCTCGTAACTTGCATCCACTTGTTTTCAATTATCCATTTACGCATAGATAATTTAACAAGCCTACAAGTATGATTTTTCAACCACCCTTGACTCCGCCTATTTTCAAATGGCTCCCTGAAGGTTTTTCTTTTATTTTGCAGTCCTTCAGCCACATTTAAAACATAATATCCAAGGCTAGCATAATCGTCCTTTTGAGATGCTACAATAATCCTTCTTACTTTATCAATAGTTAAATGATAATAAGAGATCTCTGTAACCGTTTCCTCACAGTTACTAGTATCCATAGTAGAAGACTTCACCTCAAACTGAGTTTTCTCCGCTATAGTTTTTACTGATTTTCTCCTTTGATTTTCACTATTTTTCTTCTGAAGAAATTCTCTACCAATCAAGTAAGTCATTTTAGTCTCAGTTCTTCCCCAAAAATTCAATAACAACTCAGCAGTAACATACATTTTTATCTTTTGGTTTCTGCAAAATTCATTATACTCCTCTGAAACTTTCTCAAGGCATTCATAACGCCTTAAACTCAAATTCCATAACTCTTCCTTGTCATGAAAGTCTCCACTAATTAATGATAAATTAATAACATTTAAACCTTCTAAAATATATAGACCACATATTTTAGACCCTTTAACAATGATCAATTCATCACACGAAATATTAAGTATTCTATGTTCAACTCTGTGCAACAACCTAAATCATCAAAGATACTTATAGATAACAAATTCCGCTTGAGTTTTGGAACATACCTCACATTGTGAATAAGAAGTTCACAATCATCAAACATTTTAAGTCGGACCGTACTAATATCATGAACCTTGCAAGCCTTATTATCACTGAGGCGAATAACTCCACCTTGAACCATCTTCAAAGTTTCAAAATATTCTATTCTTGGACACATGTGATAAGAGCAACCTGAGTCAATTATTCAACCATCTTCAGTTTCCAAACTCGATAATACTAGTGCTTCGACATACTCATAACTTTCCTCACTCAAGGCAACTGTAGCTTGAATAGAATCTCCATTGACCTTTTTCTCAGGATAATCCCTTTTAAAGTGAATGCTTTTCTAATAAGTAAAATATTTTACCTTTGACTTGTCAGACCTCTTCGATTTGGACATCCCTTTATCTCACCTTCTTCTCTTGACATATTTAAGCCTTCACCATTATCTTCAATCTTCAAATCTTCCGACTTTGAAAATTCTTTGGATTTCACCGCCGTCTGAACTTCATCCAAAGTAATAGTACATTCTTTACCATAAAGAAGAGCATCCTTAAAGTGTTCAAAGGATTTTGGTAATGAACTCAACAAGAGCAAAGCCTTGTCCTCATCATCAATCTTCATTTCAATATTCTTAAGAGCAAATAACCAACAAACAAAGCCCATAATCACAATCCAATTATACATGGATCCACAGACCGAATCGGAAAAGCCCGAAATCATTATTCACCATACGGACAATACTATTCACCGTATGGACAACACTATTCATCAGTACGAACAATACTATTCATCCGTACAGACTGTAATATTCACCGACCAATTTTTTTCCTTTCGATTTTTATATTTCGACTTTTTGTCCGACTTTCTTAAACTTCTGATTTTTGCGGTAAATGCAATCTCTAAAATATGTTTTCTTTTTCTTCATCAACAAAGGTTTTAAGGCACATTTACAATATATACTAATTATATGTACCAACTTTTAAGCATTGATTCGTATTTATAATAAATCGTACAATCATTTTTATAAATTCAATTATATAAAACAACAACAAAAGAAATAGTTAAAAGATAGACATTAAAATGATTAGTCAATAGCTGATATCTCATAGATACATTCACATCTACCCGTGAATTCAAATGAGTTAACAAACTCCAATTGAATCTAAATGAGAGCGGATCAAAATTTTTTATATTTAAACTAGAGAGGCTATTTTCGCGAATCAAATAAAATTGAATATTAAAATTAAAAAAAAATAAAATAATTAAATAGTCATCTACCTGTGCGGTCGCGCAAAATCGTTTTGAATAAGGATATTAAAATAGTTGTTTTATTACCATAATTGAAATATGAAATTACATGTTTATGACTCTATAATGAAAATTTAAACAATTGTGCTTGCCCATTGTTGTTCACCTATCAAATAAATAAAATTATAATAATTACAATTAATGTATATTATTTTCTATATTTTTATAAAGAGACGAAACATACTTTTGATGCGGTGATACAATATTATGTTATGTGTACTAATTAAATAAAATGATAATATATAATTATAGAAATATAAAAAGAATGTTAAATTTATCTTTTTCATAAGAAATTTATGTATTTCCTATCATAATTGTCTCATGCTCTTTTATCAAAAATAAATATTTATAATTTTTTTTTTGTATAAATGATAACATTTTTATCATTAAAAAACACTAATATTTTTTGATAAATTAAAATTTTAATATAATTTATGATATTTTAATAGTAGTTTTAATTATAGTTAATATATTACTAACATGAATACCATTTATCATTTTTTTAAACATGATTATCATTATAAAGTTAATTTAAAAAGATTTTATTTTGTTTTAATATAATTTTAATTAAGAAATTAAACATAGTTAGAGAATAAAATAATTGTGAGATATTTATTTTTTTATTTAATATTTATAACTTATTAACATTTATAAAAATAATTGTAACTTATTACGTTTATAAAAATAATTGTATCATTAAATTTTTTCTTTTTATTATTAATTTTTTATGATTACTATTTATCATTAAATTTTGAATAATTAATCAACAAAAATATTTAGAAACTATTTTAAAAATAACATGTTATTTTTCTTCGGAGTCAAAAAAATAATTATAATTTATTCTGGTTTATAAAAAGGTCTGTATCAATAAATTTTTACCATTTATCATTATTTTTTTCAGGATTAATTTTTTCATGACTACCATTCATCATGTTTTTTTTTTTTTAATATTTTGGTTTTTTAGTAATTTTATAAGTTTAAAAAAAATATAAAATCTATTGATTTTTATTTATTTATTAACTTTTGGTCGCCTAATTATTAAAAGTGTTTGATTTTAAAAAAATTATAGGTTTAATTTTTAGATTTGTAACTGAAAGAATTATAATTAAGCCGTTTATAATCAATTAATAAAAAATTATCATATGCATACTATTGAATTAGGAGAGACTAAGAGACATTTAGATTAAATCGTGTGTTTATGAAAGCACTACAAAGACTTTATTATATATAGAGAGATTACAACTAATTACACTATATAATCAACGTGAGACTATTCTATATACAAATATTCTTAACATTATATATTTACAAATATCGACACCCCCCTACGGCTGGAGCATATATGTAACACCCCAATTCTACCCCGGCAAATTATATAAACAAATCAAAGTTATAAAATTCAATCACACAAACGAATCGGGACGTCACAAATTCTTCTATCAAA